TATATATATATATATATATATATACTGTATATATATAATAAAAACAGGGCCACCATGCAACCATGCAAACTGTAATAGACTGAATGAGGACAACGTTCAGAGTGATTTATGAATGCATATTTGTTCCTTCAAGGCTTGCTGTGCAGAGCATATGTTTATGCACAGCTTTAGTGAGAAAAGGGTTTACAATTCAATAAACACACACTGTTCTGACTCTTATTTTATTAGTTACTTAAGTGGAGAAAGACCACAGAAGATCCCTCGGTAATCTGCTAACACCCACATACTGAGAGATGTGTACGCGGGTACAGACTACAGATTCTCCAACGACTATTTAAATGAGCCTTGTTTTCTGGGTGTTTTTAGTGCGTTGCCATGTTATGGCTAGTGTATTCTGGGTTTCTGAGTCTTAAAAAAAATTTAAGTTTGGGGTCAATAAGACATTTTTTAAAATGTACTTAAATGGATAGTTTACCCAAAAATGAAGGCCTCCTGTAGCGAATCGATGCGTTTTTGTAAGAAAAAAATCCATATTTAAAATTTTATAAACAGTAATCTCTAGCTTCCGCTAACTGTTGTATGCACGTTCATTCCGGCCAATGACGTAGGATGTAGGCGTAGAGTAAGGAGGCCTGTATTCACCCCCCAGAGCCATGTGGGACACTTTTTATGATGGATGGATGCGCTTTATTGGACTTCTTTTGGACTATTGAAAAAAAAAAACACTCACTGCCATTATAAAGCTTGGGAGAGCAAGGATATTTTTTAATATAACTCCGATTGGATTCGTCTGAATGAAGAAAGGCATATACACCTAGGATGGGTTGAGTGTGAGTAAATCATGGGATAATTTTCATTTTTGGGTGAACTATCCCTTTAATGCTTTTATTCAGCAAGGACTGAGTAAAGACTTTAACATTGTTACAAAAATGTATATTCCAAATAAATGCTGTCTTTGTATGTGCATCAAAGAAGATGTAGGCGTAGAGTAAGGAGGCCTGTATTCACCCCCCAGAGCCATGTGGGACACTTTTTATGATGGATGGATGCGCTTTATTGGACTTCTTTTGGACTATTGAAAAAAAAAACCACTCACTGCCATTATAAAGCTTGGAAGAGCCAGGATATTTTTTTTATATAACTCCGATTGTATTCGTCTGAAAGAAGAAAGGCATATACACCTAGGATGGGTTGAGGGTGAGTAAATCATGGGATAATTTTCATTTTTGGGTGAACTATCCCTTTAATGCTTTTATTCAGCAAGGACTGAGTAAAGACTTTAACATTGTTACAAAAATGTATATTCCAAATAAATGCTGTCTTTCTATGTGCATCAAAGAAAAACTGCATCACAGTCTCCACAAAAATATTAAGCGGCACAACTGTTTTTGACTGATAATAACTAGAAATGTTTCTTGAACAAATTAGCATACTAGAAGGATTTCTGAAGGATCATGTGACACTGAAGACTGGAGTAATGATGCTGAAAATTCAACTTTGCATCACAGAAATAAATTACAATTTTAAAATATATTAAAAAGAAATTAGTTTAAATTGTACTAATATTTCACAATATTACAGTTTTATTGTATTTGTATCAAATAAATGCAGCCTTGGCAAGCATAAGAGACTTCTTTAAAAAAAACATACTGATCCCAAACATTTGAACAGTGGTGCATGGCTCAGATTCCATGCAAGTCTATGATAGTTTAGTGGGAACTATGGTGCATGGTAAGCATTGTAAGGATATAATCATTGTGTAATTCAGTAGCTAATACCTTGAGCAGGAGCTGGTATTTGGTGATCCTCTGGATGGGTTTGATCAGGTAATCGCTGATGGACAGTCTGGAGTTTACCTCCTGCTGCACCTCCTGACAGAAAAACCAACAACATCATCAGACAGAGCACTTTACTTCAGAGAAGACATAACTGAGCTGCTCAAATAACACTCACCTCGAAGAATGCGTCATATTCAGCCACGACAAACTCGGAGCGGGGCTTGTTCTGACAGTAGATGACATACATGTGTAACCTTCTCTCCTGGATAACAGAGAAATACAACGGAATTAAGTTTACTACAACACACACACACACACACACACACACACACACACACACACACACACACACACACACACACACACACACACACACACACACACACAC